GACAATCTCCATCTCTAAATTGCACTTGAAATTGCACTTTACACGAGAAGTGTTCAGATAAATGTAATTATTTCGTCACTTATCTGTCAATGTGTGGGCTGAAGATCATTTGAGAAATTACCATAACTATTCACAGTGTTTTGCCAAACAATCCAAAACAGTGTAATTAAATCCCTAATAAGTCCGAATCAATGTCACCTACAAACTCGTGGGATTTGGGAAGCGATTTGAGGCTTCCGCGCATGTTAATCGCCATGATATCACTTTTAGTTTTGAGTGCAAAAACGTGCGAAATTCACCATCAATTATCTCATGAAAATTTGAGTGTCAAAGCACACGCTAATTAGCTTCCATCAAGTCACTTTGGGAGTCACCGTGGGGGAGCTTTTAGCCCATTCTGGGTGGGTTTTGTCATGAAAAGCATTGAACATGACGGATGGAGAATCAATCACTGATAACCCATGTAATTGATTGATGATCCTCTTCCGTGGAAATTCACTGCTTTCTCTACGATGTGACAAAGGAGAGAGAGTGAAGGAAAAATTCTTGAGCCGAGCTTTAGTCCCTTCCTTTTGGTGGTCCATTGTTTGCTGGCGCAGTTCAAACACCTTTTCCATGTCACAACACTTGAGTTCACTTTGTTTTCTGCACCAAATCCGCACCAAAAGAGTTTTCCAAGCATTGCGCGCAAAGTATTTTTGATATAATGACATCGAAAGTCATTTAACTGTCTCTCCAAACTTATTGCACAATCCGCCTCAGTCCAGCAATTTGTGGGCAATTTGCATAAAATGCAAGGCACTCACTTTCCAGTGACGACAAAACGTGTGAATACAATTCAATTGTTGAGAATTTTCTCTCTATACATTCTATTTTTCTGCTGGAAACCATTATTCAACTGTTTACCCGCTCGTTTTTTTTATCGTCAACAAATGGGTCCCCAAAAAACACATTTTGACTATATGAGACTTATAGCTGAAAAAACAACACACCGACATGAAGAATGATAATTTTTTTTGGAGGTTCTCTTTGACTATGATTTACTCACCATGATGGAATTACTCCGCAGGAGAGCTTACAATGCCCACAAATTGACGATGCCGAAATGTGTAGATACTTTCGTAATAATTGGCTGTCTTTTGGGCTATTTGTTCGCCCCTTTTTGCCGGTTCTATTCGATTCGAAGGGGAGCTGCAAAAATATTTGTATTGACGATCAGACAGAGAGAGTGAGAAATTCAATATTGAAATAATTCCACGCACATGATGGTATTATTTGGGAGGAATTTCAGAGAGGAAGAATGGCATTAATCAGCAGAAAAATCAAATCAATAAATCACTTTCCTTTTGCTCAGCAAACGCGGTAGCGAAAAATGGTTTGATCTTAATTAAATTGTTCCTCTGCAATCGTCTCAATTTCCATCACGCCAATATCGGGGTCTCACTGACTGGCTAATTTTAGTAACTCCTAATTAGTTCAACTCCCCAAAAGAGGGGGAAAAAGAGAAGCATTTTTGCCCAATCGACTCATCGAAAATCCCCATTGAAATACGATTTGTCTTCAGCGCATTTCTTTTTTTGGTTTTGTTGGTATGAATTTTTGCACATTCTTCTTCCACATTTATTTGTGGCGCAAAAAGGTGTCCGTGAGGCAAATTTCTGGGGCATTGCTTGGCAAAAACATGAACTGATGGTGAAAAAATGTTTTCGCGGTGGAATTTGAATTTTTATCTCGCGCGCCAATGCAAAAAAGTGCGATGAATATAATTTCCTGTGTGACAAAAATGGCATAAATTCCACTTCCTTTTACGTCTGTGTGTGTTTGTCTCTCAAGCAGACGAACAATTGGCGATGTGAGACAATTTCTGGTCAGAATTCCCTATATTGCTGGCACAGTGAATCATCACTGGTGGCGAGAGAGCGAGTTGGAAAAGCCCCTGATGTGCGTGTGAGTCATGCTTGAGGGAGTTGGAAGAGGAAGATGATGATTCTGCAGAAGCAATAAAATTCTCACATGGATTGATGGGTAGAATGTGGTTTGATTTTCACTCACAGCAATTGCTCGGCAAAAACCCTGCCCAATTCAATGGACAATTCCAGTTCCGGCACTTTTCAAGGTTCCACATTCAGAGCCATTGGCAAGCAAAGTTTGGAGTGCAGAGCATTGAAAGTCCAATTGTTGCCCCATAAATACCGAAATGTCTTGCACAGCACTTCATTTTCGGCCACTCGAGTGTGAAATGGTTTTCATTTCAGACACATTATCAAAAGCTCACTCAATATCTATTTAGGAGAGAAAGAAAGAGAGAAAGAGTGAACGGGTTTTACTGTGATGAAAAACTTCCGAAAATATTTCACACGACAAGGTGAATTTCTTCAGCAATTTTCTTCGTTTTCACCGTGAAGATTTACATAAGAAATTTCTCTGTCGTCTTTCTGGGCGAGCTAAAAGTCTGATATTTGACTCACACTCGCCATCATAAGATACTCTCTTTCAATGCTAAGAGTTCAGTCTAGAGTTGAGAGAGCATTGCTGGTGTAGTTTTTAGATGACGATTGGGGAGTTTTTCTTTGATATCAACTCTTGTGTAAAATACACTCAACCTGCGTTTCCAATCAACACCGCAATATTGGCAATAAATCCCTTTTCTATCTACTTATTACTACTCACCACTCACTATTACTTACTCATCTTTATGATAATCTGGCGAAATTTCCTATTCATACATCTCAACTCTGTCGGTTGTAATTGTCTTCCGTTTAAGTAAATTCGTGACCCAGAAGAGGCGAGAACAGAAAAGCTCCGGCGCTGATAAAGCTCCCATCCCCACGGGAAGTGGATCGATTGCCCATGAGAGGGGCGCCGGCCACCCGCATCAATCAAGCCACGCTATATATTCGGTGAACCCACTGACCACAAGCCGGCGTCTGAGGTCATTTATCCACACCGGACTCACAACTGCGCTGTCGCGCGACCTTCTTCGCATAAACACCCAATATTTTGTGGTCCGAGAGCATTAATCTGGGCAGCACTTTTACACATTATCACTTCGGAAAGTTAGCAAATAAATTGACTGTTTTTTGGCATGGTTGAAAATTTATTGAATGGCGAAATCCGCAGTGAGTGGAATTTTTCGATAAAGGTTTTTTGTTTCTATCAATATCCGGAGCTTTTTCCCCGATAAACAGAGAGAGTCTCAATTGTTTTATATTGCCCATTGGCAGCTCATTTCATAGCTCAGCTGCATCATTAATGTTGAAGCATTGTAGATAAATTACCCGATGATGAGGAATAAGTGAATTAATTGCTTCCTAATTTGACCTCATCCACATTGGTTTCAGAGAATTCACAAGAGTTACTCGTGATATGGACATTTCCACCTGTTTTTACTGCATTTCCCGACAGATTTGATTATTATTTTCAAAGTGTTTATATTAAAAGCCACAATTGATAGGTTGAAAAGTCTCAATTTTGAGGTGAATTTCCCTGGGAAAAGCACTCAATTTTTATTTAATTAAATATTCAATATTTCCCGAGTGGACAATTATTTATTTATGTCATAAGAGAGAGGATTAACTGGGAATTGTATCGACCGTTTTGTCACTTTTCCCCGTGCGAAGCGTTCAAATTTATCATCATTTAATTTTGTGGACACATTGAATAAATTATTAAGGCAAGAGGGATAAAATACAATCGGCTATTGCTTAATTAATTATCACACGTTTCACATTCGTCTCACAAACACGCGGGAAAGTTATTCGGTCATCTCTTCAAATGTGCACGAAATTCACTCAATTCTTCACACAATTCTTGCTGCAAGTGTTAATAACTCGGGGGTGGAACAGCATATTGTAGCATATTGTGTGAATCTTTTATGCGTACCGCCTCATGAATAAATTCGGTGAACATGGCACATATTGTGTTCATTTAGTGCATTCACGTCGGGCGGACAGAGCCTTTTTCACCCCGCACAGTGATGCCCATCGGGGTGGATTAGGCCGGAGGGGTGAAGTTTCGGTGTTAATGTGACGAAGGCGGAGTTTATGAGCGTCTTGCGGCGCAATATCGATTATTTTGCGACTGGCGAAGATATCATAAAGATGATAAATTCCACCCTCTTTAGGGGATTTTTTGCACTGTGCAAAATCTCTGGTTCTGTGGTTATTTTACTAAACCCTCAATTGATCCTTTTGCATGTGGAATTTTAGATGGTTTTCCACGGACAATTGATCGATTCCTTGCCACTCTTGTCAGGATCCTGAGCGCATTCTGAGGCGCCGAACTGTGGTGGTTTCCACCTCAAATCCCATCCGAATTGAAAGCCCTCTCGGGAGATATGATGCATAGGAAGCTGAAGTGTGACGTTGAGCTGAAAAAGTCTCTGTGGCATTCCTCAGGATGCAAGGGGTTCATTCATATGTGAAAGGCAGAGAATTTGAGCTGGAACGACGTGCGAGCTGTCGTGTGGAATGCATTACTATTTATGAGCATTTCAATGGTGCTCTCATGTTCAAATTTCTGGGGGGGAAGAGACACTTAAAGTGGTCGTTTGAGCGATTTTATATGTTAAGCCAAATTTGATTTCTTGCCTTCTTTCCACCCCCCTCAAATCCACTCCAAAGGACCCCCACCATATGATGAAAGCCCATGAAAGCTTTTGCATATTCTCCAGAAGTTCTGACTGCAACTCAATTTCCAGTGCATTCATGATCTCTCGAGTGTGGCTCAATCATCATGAGCACAAATCTTCTCCCCTTGAGTGGGATATTAAATGATGGTGCGGGTAATTAATATACCCTTCTGTGCGGGTTAATTTATTGTGCAATGAGGAGGTTGGACGCTTTGATGACAGGTGCAAATATGCATGCTGCAAAGCCCTATCAATTCCACTCAGAGAGAAGGGTGTTAATTGGGCCAGAGGTGGTTGTATTGAAAATTCAATGGCCATGTGACGCCGACAAATACTGCAATTCGTCATTTTGCTTATGATATTCTTGCAGAGAGAGAGAGAGTGAGGCGTGAGGCGTCAACATGCTATCATTCGCCCTCCTGTCAACCGTCCTGCTGGTCATTCTGCATCTCAGCCAGCCGCTGCCCAATGGAGCGCCTGAGAGTGTCTGCTTCACCCTGATGCCCTTCCACGGGGGCGGAATTCCACCCCAGAACGATGTGTCTCCCTTTGACATCCAGACGACAGCATCGACGGTGGGCCAGGGACAGACGCTTCTGGTGGAGATCGAGGGTCTCACGTCGGAGCTGAAGTTCGGCGGCTTCATGTTGCAGGCGAGAAGCGTCACGCCGCCCTATGCCGTTGTGGGAAGATTCAACCCCACCAGCGATGGTCTGGTGAAGCTCATCAATTGCAATGGTCAGGACAATACAATCACGCACGTGTCACCCAGTGGGAAGTCCCGAATTTCAGTCGAATGGGAAGCTCCCCAGGATTATCTTGGACCGGTAGTGTTCAAGTGAGTATTTCAGCTTCAGTCTCAAACTCAAGCGGATTCTCTAATTCTTGGGTTTTCTCTGCAGTGCGACTGTTGCTCAGGATTACGCTCACTTCTGGGTGGGCATTGAATCTGAGCCTGTGCAAGTGGTTCCTCGCGGAGCAGCGCCTCCGACTGGAGGAATCTCCACCACCCGCCGTCCATTCTCATCCACCCGGCCAGTGTACGAGCCCGCGCCTGTGCAGTCCAAGATCCTCAGCACTGACACGATCTACGACGGCTGTGGGACGACCAAGAGTTGCTTCGGCTTCCCGGACAATTGCCTCAGTGCCAGACAATGTCAGGTCATCACGACAGTCACGGCGAGAGGAGAGAGATTCTACTTTGAGCTCAAATCCGGACACAGTAAGAAGATTAAGAGAATCACCAAAACTTGAGATGTTAAGTGCTCTTTATTTCCAGTGAATCCCGCCTACGTCGCAGTTGGTTTGTCCACGGACAATCGCATGATGGACGATTCGATTATCGAGTGCATCCCTCAGGGAGGAGTGGTGAATGTTTATGCCTCCTGGACCACGGCGAGGCCCTACAGTGCCATCAGACAGCCCGGAAATCACCTGCGCCTCCTGAACTCCTCCTTCAGCGACGGCGTGATTTACTGCAACGTCGAGCGCGATGCCAAGAGCACGGTGATGGGAAAGCAGTTCGATCTGCTCAACAACGAGTACTACCTCCTGCTCTGCTCGGGATCTAACATCCGTGACAACTCAATCGCCTTCCACGACATCATGTTCAGACCGACCAGCAGATCGGCGCGTCTCACGGATCCCACGAACTTTGAGGCGGCGTCTGTGCTTCTCTATCGTCTTCACGGAGCTTTCATGTTGGTCGCATGGATTGGCACAGCCTCTGCCGGCATTCTGATCGCCAGATATTTCAAGCAGACCTGGGTGGGCAGCCAAATGTGTGGCAAGGATCAATGGTTTGCGGTGAGTGATCTTGATCTTGATTCACGGTCAAAAAGTGAGTGAATTACATTAGTTCAGCGGATTCATTGTCGGATAATTAATGTACTTAACATTTATGTTTGTCGATTCACATGGAATCACACAATTTCCGCAAGAGTTTCTCACTCTTTTTCTGCCTGCAGAAAAATACCGGGTGCATCAATTATGAGATATATTTCGGGGCTCTTGTCTTGGACTTTAAGTCTTTCTTGTGTTGCATTTCAATTAGTTCTGTCATCACCGGATGTCGCGATTTGCTTGCAACACTGCAAACTTTCTGGACGCTCTGTGTTTTGTAATTAAGTCTTTTGAGCGAAATCTGATGCTCAGCAAATACACCACAGTGCACCCGGTAGAAAGACATCCACACTGCAGAGTACAAAGGCAAATATTTGGTCACCGGGGAAATTATACGGCCAAGCTATAAAAGAAGTGTTTACTCAACATCGTATTTAAGCTTCGCGGTGTTCAACGACTTTTCCTCCGCAGTGGCATCGCGTTCTGATGGTGAGCACGTGGACACTGACAATGGCGGGCTTCATTATCATCTTCGTGCAAGTGCAGGGCTGGTCGCAGGCTCAGAATCCGCACGCCATCCTCGGTCTCGTCACCACCATCATATGCTTCCTCCAGCCGATCGGGGCATTCTTCCGGCCGCATCCGGGCAGCTCCAATCGACCCTACTTCAACTGGGGCCACTGGTTCGGCGGCAACGCTGCCCACATTCTGGCCAGTGAGTATCTCTCTTCGCGACGGTCGTAAAAGCCAAAGAAGAGCGTGTGTCTGATGTTGTAACACATTTTATTTGCAGTCGTTGCCATCTTCTTTGCCGTAAAACTACCACGAGCGGAACTTCCTGAGTGGATGGATTGGATTTTGGTGGCATTTGTTGCATTCCACGTGTTCATGCATTTCGTATTCTCGGTGAGTTCGTTTGAAATTCTGTCCATTTTCTCGCAAAACTTTGTTGCATTTCGCCCCACATGCCCGTGTATATGGTGGGGGATGTTGCTTTTTGCCATGCCAAGGAATTTGCAATGGGGGTTGAATTTATGGTCTGCATCTGGGTTTGCATGTTATAACTCTTCCCCAAAACACTCAACAACTCCATCATGCCATCGAGCTGTATGGAATCACGATGAAATATTCACCATAAACACACTTTCTGCCACACTACAGACTTTCTCAAAATCTTGTCAGCTTTTTATCTCATGACGCTCTCGCAATCTGTAATATGATTTTCCATATATAGACAGAAAATTTGTATGCAAAACATTATATGGAAATGTATAATGAGAATTCTTTTGGGGGGCGAGTGGAAAAGTGCATTGTGAAGCCTTAAAACATGCACTTCCACTCGTTGAGCGAACACAATTTCTTGGGCTTTTCATTGGAGTGTAAGAAATTATGTGGATTTTACTCTAGACAGAAACAACAACTGTACAATTTCATTCTCGAAATAATTGTACACGCCGCAGAAAATGTAAATAGACTTCTCTGTACTTTGAGGTGGTTTGCTCCTGAATGCCTTGATGACCTGAATGAAGTCCTCCTCTCTCGTGTGTGTGTGTGTGCGAATACAGAGTTGCCAGTTGTCAGATGGGAGAGCTTTTATTGTTGAAGAGTCCTCAACTGACCAACTCTGGGTGTTGCGCAAGGCATTGGAATTTGCATGCAGAATGCGATGTGAATGAGAAGAGTAACCCCAAATTTTCCCTCGTGCGAATGAATGTGTGTATGTGGAAAAAAATGCGGAAAGGGAGCATAACAGAAGGTCTTCATTTTCTCATACTAACCCACAATGATGCTTGCAAGAGCTTCACACAAAATGCCCGAGTATTTAGATCTTTTTGTGGGCACAGATTGCCGGCTGTGCCAGTGACAGGAGCAGCGGCCAGAGGATTACTGCCTTCCCCATGACCGACATGACGCCATCCAGAAGCTCAATGGGATCGGAGAGAAAGCAAGATGCTCCGGTAAGTGCACAATCTCTTAACTTAAAAGGTCTGTGACTACAATGCGTGATTCTCTCGCTCTGTTTTCAGTACTCACGGCTCAGGAAGATCTTGCTGGGATTCTACCTCACGATCATCACACTCTTCACCATCGCTCTGGTGGTTATCTCCGTGCTGGCGCCCATTGAGACGGCCGTGAGTGAGATCACAACCAAAATCAGCAACTAGAGTGTGTCGCCCTGTGTGAATTTCGCCCCCTTCCAGCAGTATTCCATCTTGAAGATCATCACAAAGCGCGCGATGCATTTAACCTAAGAGAGTGTGTGACACTCATTGAGGCCATAACGCACAATTTTCTTTCAAATGCATCCTCGAAATCTATGTCCTTTCGCAACGATTTTACTTTTGAGATCACAAATTTCCACTAAATGATCACAAATTGTGTGTTTTTCCATTCTTTTTGTATATCTTATTTTTTCATGTCAAAATGTCTATTAGTATTATTCTTGATAAATTTAGGTGAAGATTAAAAAAAATGAGAGGTTTTAATTTTAATGAGACTACAAAAAGAAAAACATGCAGGAATTGCAATTCACGATTGCCTTGCGCCAGATAATACGAGTCTGTACATAATTCATACTTTTAGTAACTTGTTAAGTTGTTTTTTTTTTGTAATGTAAAAAGATTGTGTAATTTTTATTAATTTTATATACAATAAACCATATAACATATATAGCTTTAGTGGAATGTGAGTTACAACGGGGAGGAAAGTGTCTTGATTCTGTGGATCAATAAATTGACAAATGACTGAAAGTTTCCGTGATGAAGGAGAGTTGAGAGCTCTGAGGTCAGTAGCATCTTGTGCATGTCTCACACAATTTTGCCCGATGGCACAGCAATAATTTGGCAATTTGAGGGTCGTTCATCATAATTTCTCTATGGTTTATTGTGTGTTTCCTTGTGTTTCTTTTAATTATAACATGTTGCCTCATAAAACACCAATAATCTCCTTGATCCTCCCCAAATAAATCTCACCCTCAGTCACTGTGTGTGTGTGTGTGTGAATAAATTTGCGAAAATTTGTCACTTTGAGCCATTGAGACATTGAAGAAGCATTAATGAATCCTACCGGAAAATCCACTTTCGCCAAACTTTCCCTCCACGCACTCCAAGTGCGGAGTTTAATGATGAAATTATTCATGAAATTTTCACCCATAAATCCCTCTCCCTCGCGATTAATCTTCATGATCGATTTCTAATTGAATTTTCCACACATTGCATCGACTCCTGTGGCTTTCGCAATGTATTTTCTACGGGGCGATTTTCACGTAAAAAGGCGCCCACGGGGGTGAAGTGCCTGGAGACTAATTCAATTCCCCACCTGGAGAGTAATATCGTTGCATATACAAACCTCTCCGTCTCCCATTGAGTCCCCCCCATTCCGCCCACAGAATGCACTCAGCGAGGGTGGAAAAAAGTGGATGGAAAATCACGGTGAAGCAGCACAGCATTTACACTTGCGGGGGTGTGCAAAAAAAGCTCCGCCGCTGAATGTGGGGAGCTTTTCTGCACGATGGCTCCAATAAAAGGATGCATGACACCTTTTCCTGGACTATAATTAATATTCAATTTCCTGTGTCGTTCACACATCTTGTCCTCACCTTTGCCACCCTTTTTTGCTGCACTTCAGCTTAGCCTCACTTGCCCCCCAATTAAGCACATGCCATTGGCTGCACAATGCGAAGGATGCAAATCAGTCATTCTCCACTTGCTGACGATAAATAAATATCCTCGTTATATCTTCACCTTTCCACCCTTGTGTATGTATTTGTTATTATGCAGAAAGTTTGTCCTCAAATTCAAACTGTGAGCATTTTTAAGGGGCGCATCTCAAGCGAGTGTATTTCGTATTTATTGTGCAACTTTTCTGCAATGCTTTTCAGCATTGAAATGTTGATCAGTCGGGGTGGAAGTTTTCAAAGGGAAGATCTGCGCTTCTCAACTTCCACCCGCTCGTCAATTTATCAAATGCAAACTTCGAAAGTGTGTTGGAAGTTTAAAGGAAAAATATTTACCCATATTCTATACATAACTTTTGCAATGTGCACGCGCGCGTTTGTTATGTGATGAAGACAAAGCCTGGCAAAACAGCCTGTGTTGTGTGTGTGTGTGTGTGGCAGTGATGAGAAATCGGACGAAGTGCCATCGATTCTTCAACCCCAAATCCGTGGCAATCGGCATTTGGCAGTGCAGTTGATGGGGTTGGCGAGGGGAGGCGAAGGGTCTGTGCAGAACCATCCTCTTAAATGCACATGATTGCTCATTTGGCCTGAATGATGGCACAAGGGGAAACTTTGACGGCACTCAATGTACATTTAAATCCACCCACGAATTGTCGAATGCTCTTGATTTCCTCTGCAAAACCCTCCGCTTCGCCAGACAGCTTGTCCCCATCCACAGAGTGTCACCATGTGGCGATACCCTGGCGCCCCGAAAACTGCTCTTCTTGGCACTGAGAAAATAGGGAATCGTGCTTCCTCCACATGTCGTGCCATCCAGAGTTCATTGGCGGAACATTTGGGTGCGTGATCAAGATGAAATTGCAAAATGTAATTGCGATTGTATCAAATCCGCCCCATTTGCTTGAGCTGACGGAGAAGCATTTAATTACTCCGCCATGGCTCTTGATGTCTTCTTGGCGGGGATTTCATCACTTTGTCACACTTCAAAGACCATCGCGTCATCCAATAAATGGACCACCATTTGCCAGAGATTTATGGTTGCTGATGACAAAGTTGGACGGAGAATTTCCGCGTCTTCTCTTCAGAGTTTGCAATTTTTGCCAGCGAGTTTTTTTTTTAGTTTCTTGCTATACATTTCACATTTTTTCCCTCCCAACAAGTTCTTTTCACTATTTGTGGATAAATATACGTATATAGAGTGGACGGAAAGTTGTGTGCTTCGTGAACCACTTGAGACTTCATCTTCATCAATTAGGTTAATTAAGGGAGAAATTTGTGTGATTCGCCATGATGAAGTTGCGCTGAAGGTTCTTCACTCATTCAACTCACATGGAAAATTGGCCAGTGAAGAGGAAATGCCAAAAAGGCTGTGAAAAAAGCCCAAATCTCCCTTTATACCAAACAATAAACGTTGGATGATATGATTTTCAATCAAATGAAAGCCGCGCAGAAGCTATTATGTTTCATTGCTGATTCATCAGCGTTTCAAGCAGATTCGCGGCGCAATTTTCTCAAGTGCAGCGCGCAAGATTTAATTGCTGTCATTACACAACAGTGGCAGCACAATTGGAAGCACCGAGAGAAGGGTGGATAATGAAATTTACGCTCCTTTCTCTGCCATTGTTCCAGTTATTATTGCACAGTGTGGAAAAAGTTGAGGTTGACGACAGTGGAATGTAATCATTTTATCTTGCTCTGCCTCGTCCATTTGATGAAATAATGCGGAAATTGCTCGAAGAATGCGACCTAACGACATCTCCCAGTGACTCCAGCACACAACCCACCAATGGGGGGTGGTCTTGCAGCGTAAAAGGAGGAGGAGGAGGTGAATAAATATGAAATGACAGAGCAATAGAATTCCGGAGAATTTTCAAAATTTAATCATGATAAAATTGAAAATGGCCAGAGACAGTTTGTGCTTCTGCAGCACAATTTATCCACCCACGCGAGCTTTTCCCCCAAAATCACTCACCAAGATATGTATCTTGAGAGTGGGTTGGCAAAACTGATTAAAGACTCACCCACTCAACATCCACAGCCAATTCATCTCGCCATCTACAGTCACTTCCTCCGTCGCCCGGATGTGTGGTTTGGGCTCCGCATGGTAAAAGAATTACACATTCAGATCAGGAAGTGGATCCATTTCATTGTTATGTTTATAAGCTCCAACCACTATTCGAGAGCAGCAAGGAGAGATTCTCAATTCGACGCATTTCCCAACACGAAGTTTGGGGCGGAAGAAAAAGTGCACCACATTTTGCATCGCAAGTGAACTTCCGCCCCGAGGCGGGCGTGCAATTTCTATGCACAACCCGTGAATGACTCCACGTTTTGGGTGTCGCGTCACAGAAGGAGTGAAAAATTGCATTTTAACACTCATTCGAAATGCGCAGCAAAATGAAAAATTCACTCGCAAATGGCACGGAAGAAGGGACAAAGCTGATTATATTGTTTAGCTTGCAACGTGTGTGTGTGTTATGTTTAATTTTGAAGGTGGAAAATACACCATCACTTTCCCCACCACCTGATATAAATCGTCCTAATTCCGGGATTAAGCTTAAAAGCTCAAATTCATTAACTTCCTGTAAAGCTTCAGAGGGAGATTTCGGGCAAGAATATATTGTGTTCAGTTGAATTGAGAATTAGCAAATGGATTTGGAGTTTCATTTTGGAGATTCCCAGAAGAAATATGGTTCTAATAAATGCTTAGATGAAATTATTCTGCTTTTTGCGTGTCGCTTTTTGAGTCAAGGGGAAGAAAATGTGCCTTAAATTTGTCCATCACTAACAAAGACGTCTAAAACTCGAAAATTTTAGATTCCAACCGATATTTCTGTGAAAATACACTTAAAAATATTTTTTTTAGCACGTTTTACAAACATAACCTCAAAATATCACTAAGAAATACTTTAAAGACTCAGTTTTGATGCTTCCTATATCACAAAATCTTCCCTAAATAAACCCCAAATTGTTAATTCACAGTCAAAAACACCAAGAAAGTTTCCTAAATAAATATTTTCCAAGTTTAAAGGACTATTTTTGAGGTTATGTTCGATATCAACATAACTTGCAGGGTTTCTTGACATTAAAATCAGAAGAAGTACAAAGAATTGGCAGTAAAAAACACTCAGTAAAGGAATATTGTAAGTTTTTGAACACTTCTTTTTTCCAACTCAGCTGTACACCACTTTTGACCATATTATCTCCCCCTTGATTTGCGTGAATGTCCGATCGATGGAGAATTCTCAATTGGAATGAATCATTCTCCAATGGATCCGAATTAATCCCCCAGGAAAAGCAACTATCAGAGCTTCGGTGATGATAAGCTTCGCCTTTTGTGTGTCTGTGTTGTGATTTAACCTCTCACTCACTCGTCGTCAATGTTATCAAGAAATTCGGCATCTGGTGATAAAATAGTAGCAGATAAAATTTTCAGAGGTATTTCATGAAGGTGAAGTGGGAGTCAACAGACCATTTTCGCACCTCGCTCGTTCACACAGTGAAAAGTGTCGAGAATCGCACACGCGAGGAAGGAAAATTTAGCAGAGATTTCCCGTGATTGCTGGCAAAATACATAAATTCGCAATTTCCGTGTTTGTGCAGCCACGTGAGTTGTGGATGGGAGTGAGTGAAAGTGAGCTGACTTGACTGCCAGAGTTGACTCTGAAGCTCAATGTGGTTAATTGCGATATTGTTTGCCCTCACTGGGGCTGTCCGTGGCTCCCTGCTCGGCGGGCAGGTGGAGAACTTGCCGAAAGCTGCATCCGACAGGCAAGATGATGTCGCAACCAGTGATATTGACATCGACTTGGACCTGCCAGACGGTGCAACATTAATTAAGCTCCATGGAACGTTCATGGTTATTGCCTGGCTGGGAACGACATCAATGGGGATTCTGATTGCCAGGTGAGCTGACCTCCGCCTGCACTCCCTGATGGACTGCCACTTCATCCCCTTCCCGCCCCTCTTGCAGGTACTTCAAGCGAACGTGGGTTAATAGGCAGATTTTTGGCACCGAAGCGTGGTTCTTCGTAAGTTTCACGCACCGATGGCTCAACACTGAGAGAAATTGGGATGAAAAGTATGCATAATGTCGTCCGTTTTCTCTCCGTGTGTGTCGGCCATAACATATGCTGCGGAAGATTAATGAGATTAATATGGTGAAGTGGTGTCATTTATAAAACAGTGGCATCGTGCTTGCATGCTCTTCACGTGGACCTTCACCCTGATCGCCTTCATTATGATCTTCATTGACGTGGATGGATGGTCGTATGGCGAGGCGCCTCACGCCATCCTCGGCACCATCACCACCATCCTCTGCTTCTTCCACCCCATCCTGGCCATGTTCCGGCCCAGCCTTGGTGACGACAAACGGAAGTACTTCAACTGGGGACACAGATTCGGCGGAGTGCTCGCCCATCTCCTGGCCAGTGAGTCTCCCTGCCCTTCCAGGCCAGTAGAAATTGCATAAATTTATCTGCATCATTTCTTTCAGCGGTGACCATTTTCTTATCAATCATGGTGAAAAAAGCTCAACTGCCCAACTGGCTGTACGCTATCTTATCACTGGCCGTCTTGGCATACGTCACGGCTCACATATATTTCACAGTGAGTACATTGTGAGCACATCACAAGCTGATAAGCAATCACAAGTGCACTGTGAGAAGAGACTACAAACTTTTACATATCCCATGTGAAGTCGTAAACAAATTTTCCATTCACCGAAATAACACGCTGTTTTCTCATCCATTCTTTTGCAGGTTTTGCTTCGCAAAGCTCAGCAGCACGGCTCGTACAGCAATCGCAATATTGATGCCCCAGTGAGTATCGCTTGTGGGTGGGAAAAAAAAGAGCTACATATACACATTGTGTGTGGGGAAAAACATCATAGTCATTCGCGCGTTATCAAAGACTCTCTATCGAATTTTCCATTTTTCCCGTCACACTTCAAAATCTAAATAACTTTATGATGATGAATGGAATGAGAGCAGCAGAATTTTTCTCGTGATATCTCACAAGTGGAAAAACAATGTCGAGTGGTGGCTATAAATCAATTGAATTTTCACACTTTTCTCAACCTCTTTTCCACCCGCAGTACTCAACATGGAGGAAGCGGGGACTCCTGATCTTTGGCCTCGTGAGTTTATGCTTAGTCGCCGCCATCGTCACCATCATCATTCTCGCTCCAATTGGCAACGGAAGCACCCCTGAAGCTCCCGACGAGACTGCACCAGCAATGGAAAATGACTGACCTGAAAAATGCGCTCTTTTTTATGTAAATACAAAGTCCTAGGCAATAGAGATGAACAATTCAGAATCCCTCGTATGAATTTATCACATCTGCAATCAACGAGGATGCGAGGTCATATGGTTGGCCAAGTGACAAAATGTTTTGATAATTGATCCGCAGTGTTTTGCGCTAGAAAAAGTTAGTCACTGGTGAATCCTGGTGGAAATGCTCTGTGCAATTGAAATGCGCGCCGGTTTAATGACTCGCACAGCGAAAGTGTGAGTCCGCACGCTTCCAATTCGTCCACACATCAATAAAATCTTCAATGGAATTCGATTTGGGGGCTTTTCGTGCGTGACGAAACTGCAGAATATTCTCCCCATCCGGACTGGGGCAAAACCCTTCACGTTCCCGCATGCCATTCATCGATTTCCCACTGAGACACAGTCGCTGAGAAAAGCCCTTTGGGGTTCTCGTTCGATGTTCTCTGTCGAGGCGAAACTGCATTGAATTGGGGCTTTTTAATAAATAAAGTAATAACAGAAATATTTTCATACAACTCTGTGAAATAATTTAACGTGAGGGAAATTGTGAATTGGGAACTCCAAATTGAACTATGCAATAAATTGAATTCACTGGAATGCTGAATTGCGCAAAATGTGTTGCGGTCTTGAATACTGTGTTATGTTGTTCAGATACCTAATCAAACCTCTGCCAATTAAGAGTTAGTTAATTAATTAAAATTCTGACAAATTGGAATACTTTATTGAAGTTTTGCTAAAGCATAAATAGGAAGCTTAAGCTGTCTTTTTAAGTGGTATTTTTTGTAAACTTTCCTGTGTATATTTTACGTATTTTCCTTCAGTGTATTACAAGTCCATTGATTTTTTATTCCTTCACTTATGACACTCTGAAATCCATGAGTTTGGAAAAGGAAAACACGGTGTGACGAATGCCGACTCTGTACTTTCCTCAGGCATGCGCCGTCGTCCTTGTCAGCGAATGCCGGCTTTGCGCAGATTTTCTCTCCGTCGTGGTGAAAAGCCATGGTGATGGGAGCGAGGGGTGGTTTTCCCGAGAGACCATTGTGTCGACCGGTGAGGGGAAAATGAGCGGAAAAGTCTCCACAGAAGCGCCAAAGACTCTCTCGATAGCAGTCAGAGGGAAAGCTTTCTCAGCATCGGTCGTGTGGCGTCTGCTTGCGGTGGCTTTTCCGAGGCACTTTCTCAGCCCAAACACCAAATCAAACCCCCTCAAGAGTTGGTGGTTTTCCGGCGGAGGTGAAGTTTTTGTACGCACAGCGGAGCCCCCGTCGCGGAGTGATCCTCCGGGAAAGTGTGAAGGCCCCCCATCTAGGCTTTTGCCGTGAAAATTCCCGTGTGTTGTGGAAAACAGCGAGTGAGTGAGAGGTGCGGAGAGGCGCTCGTGTGGGTGGAAGAAGGAGCGAGAACGTAGTTGATAAACGTAAAGTGGATTAACGTGAAACAACCCCTCGTTGGCAAACACCCTACAAGTGAATTTGTGTGCGTTTCTCCCCTGTGTTTTTGAAAACCTGGGCCAGGAGAAAAGGTGGCAAAAAAGAGAGAGAAGCGTGGAAACTTGCACGATTTTCCGCTCCCCCCTACCCGAAATCGATCAACGCATTTGTGAAAGTTGTGATTTGATTGAATTTTCCAGCCTCAGCGGGAGCTCCAATTGTAATGTAATCGTTGCAACGTGCGCAAAGTGATTGCAATCACTTTTGTCATTACCAAATATCGCCAGCTTTTCCTGAATGTTGTGGCATTTTCAGTGATTTCGGACGCCACACAAGCAACTGAAAGCGAGCCTGGAGTGTTTCGTGTGATAGTTTGGGCCTTTGTTTCTCTTCTGTTTGGTTCCTGGTTTTCTGGAACGCTTTGCCCAGAGACAACAGAGAACCATGTGGCTGCTAGGATTACTGCTGCTGGCTGTCCAAGTGGCGGCCAAGCTTACCGATCCTGAAGTATCTGTCGAAGCGGCGTTTCAAGGTATGTTTTTCACAGTACACAACATTTGTTTGTACGGCAATATCTCTCCCTTGAGGCAAAAGTAATGCCATTTATCTTCACAAAAGTCAGTATTTTTCTTGCACTCTAGTTTAGGGGTAAATTCAGGAAAAATTACAGGAGTGAATAAGTGAAAAGGAAGGAGAGAATTTTTCTTCTACTACCAACTATAAATATTCATTTTATCCTGCAGGATAAATAGCTAGACAAAGTAATACTATATAAAAGAATTTACTTTCGCCGAATCTCTATATTGCTGTCTCATTCTTCTCGAATGGTTATTCCTCTGTGGAGGGTGGAGAGTGCCCGGAATGAGGCAGGTGAACAATGTAGCAACACACGAAGGGGTGAAGAAGATTTATACTTTCCCGAGTGAGGGTGGGATGTTCACCGAAAATGTTTTGGAAAACTCCTTACAAGGGAGACGGCGTGTAAGGTGAGCGTTAAAGTACCATTGTAATGGTGAGGTGGAAAATTTGGGGGTGGTATTTTCGACGGCATTTGGGACATTATGGGAATATAAATGTGAAATTGCTGAGCAGATGCTCATTCGCGCATCTCAGGCACAGCATTTTGGGCTCTATGGCAAGCATTCTTCATGTGTCCATGCTCGAGACATCAAACCCACATAAATATTTTCCCACGCGATCACTGGTATTAGCTCAAGTATCCCTCAACATTGTGGATTTCTCATTGATTAAGCCGCAATTTGTCGGTGTTTAACTGCTGACTCCACACCAAATGACCAACCACGAAGACTGTGGACGTCCAAATTTCCAAATGGCATCGAGGGCACTTGTGATGCAACACGCCCCCTTCTCGTCCACTTAGACAACCAATTCCCAGTACAAATAGATGCCGGAGTCAATTGCCCCATATGCAAACGATGCTCTCTCGGTGAATTTAATCAAGACCACCCCTTGCACATTGGGGAAAGAGTTAATCATGCACACGACGGACCCTGATGAATTTCTCCACTGAATTACCATCAATTCTCCTGTCGGGCTGAGCTTAAATATTCGCTGCTGCTGCATGTTTTCTAATTGATAATGATATCGTGTATCGAATTGATATTCTATTCAAATTCGAGTCATTTTTCCCGGCTTCAATCCTCCCCTGGAAGCTTTTTCATTTCATTCACTTGCTAAATCACTTCAATATCCTCTTATATGGATATTCTTCAGCCCTCAACACTCCAAATAGAGTGTTGTTCATTCCTCGATTCCCTTGTTTCATTTAATAAAGTTAAAAAGACGATGTTCGCCATAGTGTGGATGTGACAGGAAGAAATACCTCAGCAAAAAGAGAGAGATTTAATAGAGAAGTGAGGGTAAGGAAGCACCTGATAAGGAGACGGCAAGCAAATGGGCTTTGAATCCCCTTAACCGTGTGAAAAAGTGCCATTTCCAAGCAATATGATAAGTGAATGCAAGTATAAAAAGAGTCAGAATTGTCGGCATTATCACTATGACTGAGGGATTTGTATCCGTGTCAGAGTTTTTAACCCTTTCATATTACGCTCTCTCTTGCCAGCGGAGAATATTCTGGGGAATTTTCACAAAAATTGTGTTAATTTCCTGTTCGTTCGAAGCAATTACTCTCTCCCGACTGTCTTCCTGTCACTTTGTCTCTTTTCAGTCGCCCCTTCAAACCCCCTCGCGAACCCGCTTTTTTACGATCCGCAGTGCTCCTTCACTGTCGCTCTACTTCATTGCCTTTAATGAATAATGACTCAATACAGTGGCGCGCACGGAAAGGAGAAAGGCGGGAAAATGTCCGCACAATTCTGCCCAACATCCGCCAAATCCTACGCCACTGATCGATGGGTGAATGAATTGGGGAAAAATGTTAAAAACATTTTTGAGAGAGAGGAACTGGCAAAAAGCTTGAGTGGAGGAGGAAAAAATGACAATAGCCTGATTTTTATCTGAAATCGTTTAAGTCAAGGGTTGTTAAGCGAACCCAGCTGACCATGGAGACACAGTGCGGGGATGGAATGAAAGTGCTGACAAAATGCGTCCCTTGCTAAAATTGATACTGAAAATGTAGACACTTTGGCGTCGCCTCTTGAAATGTGAATGCATTTTGTGCTGAAGTGTGGTGCAGAAGTGCTTTTTCCTTTGCGTAACGCCTCCACCGTCACAATAATTCCATTAATCCCCCTGGTTTCACCGGCAGAGGCGGCGCGCACCCCCGACGTTTATGCTGCAACGAGGGTGGAATTTGCCACAAAGAGCGCCAATTTCAGCGACACTGGGGAAAACATATTGAGGAGCAGACAAGCAATGGCGAAATGTCTCGATGGCAAACAATGTTGAAGCTCATGGGAGGCCAAAACGAGGGGGTGTTCAAGTAAATTTCACTGTGTCGTCTCGGGGTAATTTTGTGTGAGAAAATCATGCAAATTGCCAGAGAAAGACCTTGTTGAGGTATTTAGAAAGAAATTTGCAAGAGAGACGAGCAATGCAAGCGAGAGACTTTCTCACGAGACAGACTTTCACAAGCCACTTCTTCTCTTCTTCTTGCGAGATATCGGAAACTTTCTAATGCATTTAATATTCTAAGGCATCTTCGGTCTCTGGGATACATCAACAAGTTCTCCATTGAGTTCATTCAGATGGAAAATCAATGAATCAATCCCAGGGACTGAGGTTGTTTCAATGAAAATAAACCGAACCACTAAATAACTTTCTCAATCAAAAGTTCAACACTCCGCACAGCACTTGAATTATCCTCGACAGTTTGTGCATTTTGTTAGGTGAACAGCAGCCGGAAAGGGACTTTGTTGTTTTATGTAAAGAGAGTTTTATGGAAAATTGCCTCAGACAATCAATTGGTTGCGAAGTGTTGGAACTCTTGTAAAGTTTTGTCAAGTGATTTGCAACAGCTGTCAAAATTTTCAATCCAATTTGCCACTGTTGGTTGGACAACGTTGACTTTGTGTTTGAATTTTAAGCCCCAACACACACTTGCATAAATAACTTTGTCACCATCCAAGGGGGAGCAATATTCATCATTCATAGTGTTGCCTTAATGTGTCGCTTATCGGTGTAGTTGATCACCCCTATGTTCACACTTCTTTCACCCCGAGCGGCGACGGCGAAGGCGCTGCACAGAGGCAAACATATGGCTCTCGAGCATGCCAAATACAGGAATATTATTATTTTATAACACACATCACGGTTCGCCGATGATCCTGATCGCAATTTTCTCACAAGCAATTTCCCCAAATGCCACTTCACGGGAGCGATTGCAGCGCTCCGGGAGCGACAGAAACACAGCAAATTCATTCATCACATTTGTTGGTACATTCACGCTGCATGTGGAGCTTGTGTAGGGGTTTAGATTTAATGCACTCTCTTGCAAACTAACAATCCATCTCATTTCCCTCACACCCCCGAGGCGTAGAATTGTCGGGGTGCAATCGCCCCGGTCAGGTTTGCGTGTGTGTGCGCGACTCCAGACGAGGGTAGGAATCAGAATTTATTGTGCACATGGACCGGAGGTGGGACAGAAATTGAATTATAGAAGAATATAAAGGGAGCGTGAATGGGAAAATGAGTGGAAAATTGATAATCTGCTTGGGAAAGTGACACAAATTGCACGTAACGTTTTTCCACGGAAGTGTACTTAAAATTCACTCCTCTTTGCCTTTCCGGACTGCCTGCGGGGGTGCGCAATGAGCGACTATTGTGGGGGGTGAACGCCAAGGCGTGATTTTAGGAGATTATAATTCAATTCCCTCGGCTGCATGTGCTTTTTCATCATGAGGCCAACATAAAATCCTTGGAAAATGAGACAGATTAAAATGGGGGAAAATGTTCCCATTAATTCACTCTATGCAATTTTGCCTGAGTGGAGAAAATTTTCTTATCCCATTCAATGTGTAATCTTTATAAAATTCAAAAATATATAATGAGAATATATATTAACATTTATGCAAGTCAATGTGGCGCGAAAAAACCTTGGCAAACAACGTGTCAGAGAGGAGCTTTGGCAAAGTTTTTCTCCGGTCGCTCTTCTCATTTGTATTAATGCAGGCGCGATTCACTGGGAGCTTTTGCACTTTTTGCCGCCCCGTTTTTCCCACTACAGCCAGATTCTCTCTAGGGAAATTAATTGATAGTTTCTCCTCAACCGTGGAGGTGATTTATTTGAAAGCAAGTTCACTTGGTGTTAAGTTTGATGCTGTCTTTTTGTCTGCTTGTGCATCATTTAACACTGTGATAGATTGGCAAGGAAAACTTTCACACTATATCCTGCTCGATTTCGCAAGATGAGAGTGTTAGATTTAATGAGGAATGTCTGTTTTAGACATGACACTATATACGGATAAGTGATTAGCGTCAGAATTGGCATCGTTGCTTAACCATCAGAATGTCACTGTGTGTGTGTGTGGAAGCTTCCAAGGAATCTCAGCTTCAGGTGTGAAGTTCTCAGCTATATGCTGAGCAAAAAAACCACACCTCAGACGGTGTGGGAAAAAGGCTAAAATTAATTATCTGCTTGAGACGCAATTTAGAGCGAAGAATCCCATTTTGCATTATGATTACTGCGCGTCGGTACTTTCGCACGCTCTCACTCTCGCCCATCCAGGGTGTCTTCTGGGCCGAACAAGGGGGTGTTTTTAATGACTCTTTGGCACGAATTACGCTCTAGAGCGGTTTCAGAGCTTTTTTTCCTCACTCCTTGCCAACATGACACCTAATATTGTGTGCGCGCGAAAACAAGGAGCATGAATTTCAATTAGAATCTCCTCTCGCACAGCAACATCAAGTCCTTTTATATGTTTTCTCTCGCTCTCGGTAAGATACATCTTCCACTTTTGCCTCTTTCTCACCTCAAAATTGTTTCTTTGGGTGACAAATAATTTCTTGGCTTGTTCACCGTGTTGCAAATGAATAGACAAAGTCTCTCACCTTTTTTTTGGTATGGGGGGATGGAATTGTGTTAGGGGTGCTTCTCTTTAGGAATTTTCAAGT